ATTTAATACGAGTAATAATAATAATAAATAACAAGGTACTCAACTAATAATATATCGAAAAAATAAAAAATAAAATTCTAAGAACCCAACTAATTTTACAAAATAAAAATATTTACATTTGAAAACTTAATAAACAAATAAATAAATAAATAAAAGGGGAAAAAACTTAACGAAAAATTTGTCGCACTTTTAAATAATTATAAACAATTCGAATAAATATTAAAAATTCGATTGGAAACAAAGCAGAAAACCATAAAAAATTATTTAACGTTAAGAAAAAAATTTTTTTAGCATGACCTCTTGCAAGGATGCAATGCATCGGTTTACAATTGAAAAAAATAAAATAAAAAAATGATCCGTTAATTGAAATTGCAAAAGGAAAAAAATAAAAATAAAAAAAATAAGAATTTTTTTTATTAATTTAACGAACAAAGATCGAAAAGAAGAAGAAGAAAAAGAAGAAATGAAACAAGAGGATTGCAAGGCAGGTTAACAACCTGAACCAGGTTATGAGAGCTCAATAGACTACCTTTAATCGAAAAAATCAACATGCACTCTGACTCAAATTAGTCATTTCTAGACATGTATTACGTTGGTGGTACCGATTTTCCAACGCCTCATACTATTTATTCTTCGGGCAACGACTTTAAAAAAAAACCAAAGCAATAAAGAAAGACTTGGTTGAAATTACAAAAAAAAAAATTTTTTTTTTTCCTTATACTTTCGGTTCTTTTACTATATTCATAACATTGTGTGTTCTTCTTTTTTTTTTTTTACTTTAATTTAACGCATAATTTAATTTTAGTTATATTTAAAATTTTAATAAATTTTTCATAAAAAATGTGTTAAAGAAACAACAACAGCAAAAAAAAAAAAAAAATTATAATTTTGAATGACTTTTTTGCATGTGGAATTTAAATTAATTTTTATATATATATATTTGTTTACGTGACTACTTTTAAATTCAAAATTTATTTAAATATTTTATTTTCATGTTTTTTAGGCGCGAAATATAATAATTTAAACCGTTAATAATAATAATAATAATAATCGATAATTTCTAACAAATTGTAACGTTTAATTTTCATTATAAAAAAAAAAAGCTCAGAAATTTCTTTCTTGAAGCAAAAGAATTATTTAATGTAATTTTTTTATGAATATTTTTAAAAATCATTTAATTATAAATAAGTTAAAGCAAAATTCAAACGATTTTGATTTCGCACCTGTTTTAAGTGTATATAAAAGGGGGGAAAAAAAATTTTTTTTTTGTTCAACCATAATCATTGAACCAGCCCCTTTGAATTATTTTTTTTTTGTAGCATTAAAAATATTAAAAAATTGATTTGTTTTTTTTTTTTTTTTTTCAAATTAATATCGTTTAAAGCTCAAAAGTTTAAATAAATAAAATACTGTTATTAAAAAACAAAAATAAAATGCCACGCCTGTTTAGAAAATCTTTTTGTTGTAGAAAAGATTGAGTTTAAATAAATTCTTTGTTTTCGTTACCTCAGTTTATTAATATTGTGAATTGCGTGTGGTTAATCGATATAATTTTTTTGAATAATGAAAAAGAAAATGGTAATTTTACAATAGCATTAATCAAATAAAAACACAGTAAAATAAAAATAAAAAATAAAAATTTACAAGGAAAATATTATCTTACTGTATATCAGAATGAAAATATTTCAACAAGAATATATCAAGTTTCTTTAAAAAAGAAAATTCTATGTTGTTCTATATATGACTTGAAAAATTCAAAAATTTTACTCATATTATGCTCAACCCAAGTGTTCCCTTAATTTATAACTCTTGCATTCAAAGCTAATGTTTGCATATTTCTTTTTTTTCAACAAAAAGTATTATATACTCATAGTATTATGTATACATAGTATGTATACATATAAATATACATATACATAAATAAAATTATGTATATTATATGCATATATATATAAAATAAATGTACATGTATATATATACACATATAAAAACTCAAATTGTGATAAAAATTTTAAACACTTACTTTAATAACGGGTACAAGTCTCGAATTAAAATGTAGCAGCTTATGGTTGATAACTACAGTTATTCAATCCGTTAAAATTAAGCTTGTAATTTTAAATAATTGCTTACCTCTGCAAAAAAAAAAGAGAAATCATTTTCATAAGCCATTATACAAATCCAATGTAATTATAAAATAATGTTCATATTAATGTAATAATTTTAATTTTTCGTTTATATACATATAAACAAATATTATTTTGACTTTTAAAATATTTACCAAATACACAATTTAAATAAAAGTTTGTTAAATAAGAAGAAAAAAAAAAAAAACGTCAAACATTATGTATTTATCCGTTAATCTAAACGTTTCACACCGCTTGACAAAATGGCGTAAAATGACGTCATCATTTATAAAGTTGAATTTTTTTTTTTTTTATAAACGTTTTAAGTAGCTATTGACCCACCTGTTATAAAATTGTACGTAAAAATTAATCAAATAACGTGAGAATACATTATTGCAAAATAAAAAAAAAATCGTTACGTTGACGATGTTTTCCTTGAGAAAAAGAAAAAAAACTCTTGTTTAAAAAAAAAAAAAAGTTTTGAAATGAGTTATGAGCGCATGAAAAAATGTTTGACAAATTTAATATATTGTTTTTGTATTAAATAAAATAAACTTTTATTTAGAGTTTTAAAAATTATTTACGTTGTTATTTTCAAAATATTAAAAATGAAAATGCCTTATTTTTAAAATTAAGTTTGAAAAAAAAATAAGAAAAAACGTTAAATAAAATTTCATTTACATTAATGTAGTTTAGGCGTTCAATTTTCAAACGAAAATTAACGGTTCTTTTTTCGATGACTGAATTTTTTATTACAGTTTTTGTTTCTACATCGTATAAATCTTTTCTTTTTTACAAAACACGCACGCACAAACATAAATAATTTCAAATTTAAATAAAAAGAAAATGACCAGCCAAATGTAAAACAATACATTTTAATCAACCTTGAAACAATGAGTTTTGGTTACATTGTTACCAACCTTAAGGCGATTTCAAACGTTTGACTTTATGTTGGTATTTTTATAATTAAAATTAATAATTTGTCGCCATCATATTTTTAACACATAAATTGAGGCATCCATCGTTTTCTAATGCCCAAAATATGAGTAAATTGTTAAATTTCCTTCGAAAAAAAGAAGACTCATATGAAATTCAGTTTGATGAATATTAAACACCCGAGGCCTTGTTCTATTTACTATCAAATATTATCATCGTCAAAAGGCAATCAAAATTTTTCAACGATCTATGGAAATGAGATCAATCATAACCTTTTAAGGCATTTGTTTAAATTTATGAAAAAAAAAATAAAAATTGCGCGTAAATCATCAGTTTACGAAATGTGTTAACAGGTAAGGAAACAATCTGTCAAGGTTTTTTTTTTTTTTTTAAATATAAAAAAAAAAAATCAATTTTTAAATGAAATAATTTTTTATTTATATAGATACTATGTACATAATTCACAATTTGTTTTTTTTTTTTTCATTTCGTTTTTTGAGCCTAAAATAATTTTTTTTTTTTTTGTAAATAACATTTGGTCCCTCAAAAAACAATGTTTATTTTTCTTTTCTTTTTTTTTTATAATCTTAGTGTCAGTCAATAATTTTATTTTTTACACAGAATTAAGATAATATACAATTAATCCCATCACAGATTTTTTCTTTTTTTTTTTTTAAATTCAAAGAATTTTTTAAAAAATAAAATGAAATCAAATGACACTTTCATGAACAAGGTAAATTAAGTTTTTAGCCATATTTTACTTTAACGACAAAAAAAAAAATAATAAAAATAAAAATAAAAATGAAATTAAATTAATTATTATGAATCACAGTTGGCATTAATAAAATTATACAAAACATATATAAGAATAATATAAGTATTGTATAACAGAACTGAACAAAAAAAAAAAAAAAAATTACCTATATATATTACATAAATAATAAAAAGTTTAAAAAAAAAAAAAAATCAGTCTGCAATATAATAATAATAATAATAGCCAGGAAACTTTTTGTTATCCTTATTCATGAGTTAAACATTGCCAAACAACTTGTTTCGTAACAACAACAAGATTATTTCAGCAATAATTCAACTAGAGATAATTCGTCACATATTTAAAAAATTTACCATACAATTGCAACCTTTTAAAAAAACAAATAAACAAATGAAAAAACTTAAGCCAAATTTTTTTTTTAACCAGAATAATTAATTTTCCTAACTAATTGTTAAAAAAAAAAAAAAAAAAAAATTGGCAGGATTTGTGATTGTATCACTCTCTTAACCCATACTGATTAATGCTATTGACTCACAAATAAAAAATATAATGTAAAAATCTAAAATCTACTAAATTCTTATCACTCTAAAAAAAAAAAAAAAAAAAAAAAAATTTTAATATATTTTTTTGATTTTGGCAGGATATCGAATCAACTATTAAAAAAAAAAAATAATAAAATTATTTAAATAAAACTTCATTTTCCTGCATCGTTACTTGTAAGTAGAAATAATATAAAAATTAATAATAATAATAAAAAAAAAACATGTGAGACTTGATGACAGGAATTAAAAAAATTAAAACATAAAAAAAAAAAAAAGTAAAAATAAAATAAACAAATAAAAAGAATCGAAAGAGATCACTCAAATAGTATGTTTTCTGACACTTTAAATTTTTTTTTTTTTTCATCGCATCTCATATAGAATTTATACTGCTGCTTACATACCATAGCTGCAATTCTTTACATTTATATACATATATATATGCATATAATCTATACACAAATATTTTTTTGTAACCATACTCTCTCTCTCTCTGTATTTGTAAAAATTTAAAAAAAAAAAAAAATTAGGATCCCTTCGGAGCATGTCACATTTTTTTTCTCGAGTCACAGTCACATTTCACTGTTTTTTTTCCTTCTTTCCATTTTTTTTAATTTTTTTTTAAACATTTCAAGCAGTCATTGTGAGAAACGCACATGATGAGTCAGAGTTTAAATGTTCTTTAGCTTGAGCTGAACACAAATCTGGTGTGGACATAGACCTTGTTAAATTTGTAAAACCAGTTTCGAATGAAAAAATAGATACCAAACTAGTGATACTGTCAATTTCCATTGTATTTGATGGCTCGTTTTCGCCATCGCTAAGATCACTAGCTGAATTAGCCACTTCAGCTAATAATGTCGCTTTTTCACTGTCAGTAAGATCTATAGGAACGGGATCTGTATCCTCATAAAATTTATCACTAAATTCACTATTCTTAACCGAGTTTCTGCACTTTTTATTTTGTACATCATCATCTGATTCCCAATCGGAGAAACGACGTTTTCTAGACGACGAGCACTTTGATTTATCTCCACATAGTAAATTATCACACGACACAGATTTATCCAAATCCAAATAGGTAAATGCATCAGGTATTTGATTTTCTTTGTCGTCTGAACAATGGCTACAAGGCGGTAACGGATTTGACATTTTTAAACGATCTTCACCCGGATCTTCTGCGGTTAAAGCGTCTGAACCAGCTTCTTCCGCCGTTAATGCCACCAAATTGTCATCATTGTAATCGTTTTGTTCGGGGATTTCGTTATGATTGATTTGGACAGGCGGTGGGGGATTAAAACTTGGTTTTCCGTGAACTATTTGATAAGCTTTTTCCATAAAAATATAGCGTGCTTTTTGCAAAACTGTTGCAACTAATAAATTTCGATGTAAACTAACCCCCCCCCGTTGTGTTTTCGATTGAGCAATTTTTGTTAACGAAATGCTAATCAACCTTTGAGCATCGGTTGCCATTTTAAAAAAAAAAAAAAAATATTATTTAAAAAAAATTTAATAAATATTTAAAAAAAAAAAAAAAAAAAATTTCAACACAATTGTTTTTTTCTTAATAGTCTTTTTTTTATTTAACTTATAAATAATTGATAAAAAATATAATATAAAACAAAAATGTATCCTTATGGATAATTAACACTAATTGTCACTGTCAAAGGTTAACCTCTCCCACAACTTCGCGACAAAACTTTTTTCATCTATCCTTCTCAAATGAAATTTTCGTGATGACTGACCGTGCGTACGTGTCACACGCCATCCCTACCTACGTACAAAAATTGATGTAATTGTAAATAATTTCACTCGTCATAAGCTTAACATGTAAAATAATATCTTTTATAAATTATTGTAGTATGAGTAACTTTCCGTTTAAATGACGTCACGGCCTATTTATTTCTTCATCACTGAACAACGACCTTCGCGTAATTTCATACATTCTCCGAGACCGTTGTAAACAATAACAAACATTTTGTCGCCATCTTACGAGGTAAATTGTAAGTTATGCTAATGGCCGGAATCTCAAAGTCATTGAATAAAATTTTTATATAGTCATATTCATGGAATTTTTTTTATTAGAGAGATATTTATTTTTATGATTTTTTACAACTAATTTACAATTATTTACACCAACCTGTATCCTACAGTAGTCTTTATGAGGCTTAAAAAAAATTAAAATATGTTATTTTTCTTTTTTTATTTTCGAATGCTATTTTCAATTAAATGAGGTTAAGTTTGCCTCTTACAGTAATAAGTTTTAAACTTCAATTTTTATTTGTGATGCTGATTTAACGATATCACACAAATTTATTATTTTTACATTAGTTGTCTATTAATTAATAAATTATATTCAAAAAAACAAGTTTTAGTTATTATTAAATTATGTCTGAAAGATTATAGTATTATAATTGCAAGGTGCACCATCATGAATTTTTGATAATTTTTTTAAAATTAGGTATTAACTACAGTTATTAATAATAATTTAATTTTTTATAAAATTAATTTTTAAATTATTTTTTTTTTTACGTAATTTTTTTTAACTAGTTTTTTTTTTATTTCAGAAAACGATTAGAGAAAAATAAAATTATTTTATAAAATGACAGTTATAAAGTATTTTACTTTATTTCCATTCATTGCTAGGTTGTATTATGCCAAGTTTAAAAGATTATCATTATTTTTACTTGCCATACATTTAACATTATTAATAAAAGTTAAAATAAAGACATTAAAAATTCAAGGAATACATCATAAAAAATTTAAAAATTTAATTTTAAAAAATAACTATAAGTATAACTTCAAAGGAGACATTCGGAGTTGTGCTTTAATTAGCATTAATACATTAATAGCACTTTCTATGAAAAATATGTCATGGATCAAAATTTTAAAAAGTGTTAATAAAGATGAATCAGCAAAACAAAATGAAGAAAGTGATTCAAGTTGGAAAATATTAATGCCACCTGTTTCAAATGCAATAAATAATTGTAATAAAAATACAGATTATTATGTGCAATGTTTATGCTTATCAACCATCTTGGATGATTTTATTTTATACGTAACGGATGAGAAATTATTTAACGTATCTAAGATGAATAACAATGAATTTTTCGAATTAGTTAAAGATGTTAAAGTAGAAAAACTAGAAAAATATTTTTATCCAGAAATAGCAAAATCAATTTTTGTGTCTGAAATTACTTCAGCTTATGATTTACCACCAGAAGATGCTGAATACATTTTAACAAAACATTTTGAAAAGCCTCGTTTGGTAAGACTAAATGATGTTTTTCGAGTTAATGTAAAAAAACATATAAGTAATTTAATTTCAAATGTCTGCAATAGAAATCATGTTTATTTCAAGGTAAGAACTTTCAAAGTGTGTGAAACCTAAAGTTAATCTGTGATAATATAATTACATAATTTTTTTTAGATCATAAAGATACCTGAAAATTCGGAAAATCAAGTTTATTACGTTATGAAAGATTATTCTAATTTATATTCGAATCCTTCTGTACATGGTTTTTTGCCACAAATAAATGAAAAATTTGTAGAACCAAATATGTATAAACAAGGCCTTACTCTTAGTATATGTCCAAGTGGCCTTATGAAGCATTTTAAATATCTTAAAACTATTTTCAAACCGTTTTTATTGAAAAAAAAAATTCAATTAAAACCAATGTTTTTGCTGAGTGGAGCCAAAGGTTCTGGAAAAAAAACTACTCTTGAAGCTCTTGCTTTATCTTTGGGTTTGCATTTAATTCATGCAAATTGTTTCGATTTTTCTGGTCAAAATTTAACATTTATTAGTGGGAAATTCGATCAAATTTTTTCAAAAGTGAGAAGAACAGTACCATGTATTCTTCATTTACAAAATATTGAGGTAATTCATGACTTTAAAATTTTTATTTTAAAACAAAATAACATGTATTATATTTATGTGTAGTAGTTTTTAGGAAGAGATGCAAATTATCAAGAAAATGTAAGATTGATTGATATATTCGAAAGAGAAATAAAAGAATTATGGGAAAGGAAATCATTTTTGTATCCCGTTTTCATTGTCGCATCCACAACATTGGCGGAAACTGATTTAGTTCCTAGTACAGCAAGATATTTCATTGATACAATTAAATTTGAAGTTTTAAAATTTGAAGAGACTTATCCAACGTTAAAATGGCTTATTTTTAGTAAGAACATGAATTGTTCGTCGGATGATTTGGTAAAGGTAGCCGAAAAAATTAAAGGTTATGTCTTTGCTGATTTGGCTTTATTGGTAGACCATGCGATTCGTATTAAAACTCAAGAATGTGATTTTAGCGAATTTTCAAATAAACTTTTACCGAGGCATTTTGAAAAAGCTTTTGGTAACTTGGGTCTCTCATTTTGAATTTTAAAAATCATCATCATTGTATCAATTTACTGATATGTTTTAAAAAATTTTTTTTTTTTTTTAGCACTTATGGACGATGCTTATTCTCATTTTATTGGAGCGGCTAGAGTACCCACTGTTAAATGGGAAGATATCGGAGGCCTTGCAGATTTAAAAGAAGAAATAATGTTGACTTTAAATTTACCATTAAAACATCCTGAATTGTTTACCTCTGATTTACGACGTTCGGGAGTTTTGTTTTACGGTCCTCCAGGAACTGGAAAAACATTATTAGCCAAAGCGATTGCAACCGAATGCAATTACACATTTCTTTCCGTAAAAGGACCCGAATTAATGAATATGTATGTGGGTCAAAGTGAAAAAAACGTAAGAGAAGGTAATTTTTTTAAATGTCTTGATGTTTACTTAATTAATTTATTAACTGTTTAAGATTATCTAAAAAAAAATTTTTTTTTTAGTGTTTGATAAAGCTCGAGATGCAGCACCCTGCATAATTTTTTTCGACGAATTGGATTCATTAGCTCCTCGAAGGGGTAAAAGCGGTGATTCTGGAGGAGTAACCGATCGAGTCGTTTCACAAATGTTAGCCGAAATGGATGGATTGGATGACAACAAAGACGTTTTCATATTGGCTGCAACAAATCGTCCTGATTTGGTAGATCCAGCATTGCTTCGACCGGGAAGATTCGATAAAATGTTTTACGTTGGAATATGCACCGACGAAACTTCCAAAATAAACGTTTTAAAAGCTTTAACTAGAAAGTAAATACAGCTTCCTTCACAATTTCGATTTTTTTTTATCGATTATTCTCGAACAAATTTTCATTTCAGATTTTCATTAACGGAGGATGTTAATTTCAATGAAATTGTTAAATTGCTACCCAAAGACATCACGGGCGCCGATTTGTATTCGGTCGTATCTAATGCGTGGTACGCATCGGCCAAAAGATACGTAGATGCCATCGAAATCGGTAAAAAAAAATTTATTTATTCCGCCATTAAATTTAAATTCGTTATAATTAATTTATAACTTGTCGAATAAACGTGTGAGCAATTTTTTTTTTCAGGCGAAAATCCTTCGTTGCCTGTTTTCGTTAACAGCGAAGATTTCAGAGAAGCCATCGAACAATTTATACCATCGTTAACAGACGAAGACATTGATTATTATGAAAATTTTAAAACTTCTGAAAACAGTTACTAACTCACCTACGACGGCCATAAATAAATAAATAATATCAACGTTATCCAATCATGAGAATAAAAAATAAAATTGAATTATAATTTAAATTAAATTGTAATTCTTTAACGTATTTTACAGTAATAATAAAATAAGTAAAGGAAAATTTTTAATTTTATTTTCAAGTCAAGTCAAAAAAATTAAAATTTTTTTATTTTTTTTAATAAAATAAAATTTAATCATTACATTATTTATATACAATTTAAATTTTTTTTTTCAAGGGAAAAAATAAATAATGATTTTTTTTTTATTTTTTTTTTAACACCGGTTACTTATTAAATAATAATAATTAATAATTTGATTGTTTACCTACAACAAAAAAATTAAACTTTATACAAAATTGATATTAATATCATATCGATACCGTTCACAATGAATTGAGATCAAAAAAATTATATGTAACGAAAATAAATATAAATTTGAAGGAACATTATTATTATTATTATTATTTTTAAAATCAATGCAATTGAATTGAAAGACTTATATATATACAAAACATAACAAAAAGAAAAATCAGTCAGTAATATTGAGAGATGATGGCTTACGAAAAATTAATGAAAAAAAAAAGAAAATTTTTTTAATTGTAATTAAAATAATTAATTAATTAATTAATTAAATTTTATAAAATTTCTCAGTTTTCATCACAATATATAAATAAATAAATAAAACTATTATATTTTAATTAATGGGAAAAAAAATTAAACGTATCAATTGCATTGTTTTATTTTTTTTGACCCTGCATGAAATAATTCGTTATGTAACTATTATTAATTTATTTACAATTAAGTTATCTACCCATTTATTTATTTATTTATTTATTTTAATAAATGATTTAATGGATTTATATTTAAAAAAAAAAAAAATTCCAGAAATTTTTTTTTAGGGGGTTATATAATCATAAATCTTAACATCGCGGATTAATTATTATTATTATATTAATGAAAAAAAAACGAAATTACCCCGCGAAGATATTTACGCCATGATGATGATTTTTTTTTTATTGTAATCAAAATTTCAGGTTTATTATATTTCAGGTATTTACTGCAAACCGAAACTTATATATTTTTGACACCATTCTCTTGCTTCTTCTCGATTTTGACAACACATTGGATAAACGACGCTTGATTTAGTTTGTTTTGCACATTTTTGACAAAGAGTTTCTATTTCGTCCTGAAAATTAGTTTAAAGAAAATTTAGTCATATAATTACATAATGATAATAATAATAATTGGAAGAAAATTTTGTATTATTGTAATAGGTACGTTTAAACAAAACGATCTTGAGCCGATTTTTTTTTTTTGTGTGCATGTAGCCGACCTAAATTAATAAATTCGTACTCAATTATTTTTTATTATTGTAAATTTTTTATTTGTTTTAAATTGCATTTTTGAAAAAAAAAGAAAAAAATCATAAAATGATTTTATACATTTTTTTTACCGTTGTTGTTTGCTGGTGTTTTTCGCGTGTTTAATTTTATCAAAATGGTAATAAATAAAAAAATAAAACCAATGAGGAAGTTTGAACGGATCACAGCAATTAGCCTAAAATTAAAATGTTACTTGACGATCGTTTCACTCCGATAATGTTTGTTTTTTTTTTTATTAATTAATTATTAACTTTGTGTTTTTATTTTAAAATTTTAGCTGATGACTTGACATGAAAAATTCACAAAAAAATACATTTTGAATGTTTTATGTTTTTTATTTTGAACGTATAAGTGTAAAAATGTCTTTTTGTAACGTAAAACCTTGATTTCAACTAACTTATTTTACATTTTCGCAATTCAAAAATTAAAAAAAAAACTCACTTTATATTTATTATTTAGTTTTTAATAACCGATTACAGAACAATCACTGTACGACGCCATTTTGAGCGGTTTTAACAACAAGGGGAAAATTGTCGAAAAAAGTTAAAAATATTTTGTTGTGAGAATTCGTCATTTCGAACGCGGTAAATTTTTATTGTTTACATACTCGTTAAATATTTCTCGTCTAAACGTATTTTTTATTTTTTATTATTATTTAACGTCAGAATTCGGTTGTTTTTGTTGTTTGTTTCATTCGAAAAAGATCAATTTCTTTGTAAGTAAAATTTAATGTGCGATTAGTCATTATAACCGTAGTATTATTATTATTTTTTATCTAGACTCCTTGACCGCGAAATTTCAATGAAGAAAATGGCGATTTTAAGTAGGTCGTGAACTGAGAGATTTACGATTGAAAATAAACATAAATTTTTTTTAATTAAATGGTTTCCGTTGCTTCCGTGAAGGTTTTCTTTAACTGATATTAAAATTTATATACCGGGGGTCTTGCGTGCGGTACAAAATACATCAAGGTCAAGGGTTAAATATTCTTGGTAAATATTTACTTGTAAATATACGTTTTTTTTTTTTTTTTTTTTTTAAATCTAACAACAAAATCTAATATACGATAAAATAAAAAAAACAAATCAATAATAATAATAATAATAGTATTTTTTTGTTACTTACGCTTAAATCACAATCCGTTTCACTTTTTGGTATCAAACTTTGAAAACTCGACCACATATCATAAGGTTTACCATATGCCAAATTTTGTTGCATCATTGATAATATTATAAAAAGGAGTAATATTATAATGGCATGCTCTAAATTTACCTTTATTAAAAAAAAAAAAAAAAATTATTATTATTATTATTACTATTCTTTCATTTTTGTTCAAACAACAAAAAGTTATTACTTAAGTAATAATAATAATATTATCATAACTAATCATTCTTTACCATACTGCACTAATAATAATAATATTTAAAAAAAACTTTTGCAAGTAATAATTACTATTATTATTATTTTGATAATTATTAAACCTTGTTAATCACTTTAAAAATTTCAGTTGTAAAAAATGAATTAAAATTTTTATTACTTTAAATAATAATAAACATTTTCACATTGCACACACACCCAAAAAAAAAAAAAAGTAATAAAATAATTTTTTTTTGAAGGTTTTATTTTACACCTCCATAATAGTTTATTATGTATTTATTATTAATTTAATAAAAAAGGTATGATAAATTAAATAATTTTTTTTATTTATGCATAATAATATTGAGTAATTCAAAAAAATCATTATTATTATCAGAACAAAAACATAAAAAATTTATTAAACTTAAATAAATAATTAATTAATAATAATATAAAAATAAAATATACCAATAATGAAATTTATTATTATTATTATTAATCAATTGTTTTAATAATGCATTGCAATGAGTGAAATATTTTTTTTTATTTTAAATATCCATAAAAAAATTTAAATTTTCTCTTATAAGTTAAAATAATTATTTAAAAAATCGTTACCGTAATAAATAAATATGTACATAAAGAGTAAAAATAATATATTTGTACCTTGTATGAAAACACAGAAAACTTCATATTTAATCCAAAAAAATAAATAAATAAATTTTTTTTATTTTTTTCTTATGATTTTTACTGGGTTATGTCGATGCGTTTCTTCAATTTTATTTATAACAACAAATATTATTGAAAAAAAAAAAAAAAAAAAAAAAATTTCACATCAAAACTCTATAATAGACATCCTATGCATGAATGTAATAATATATAAGTTACAACAACAACAACGACAACAACAAACAACAACAAAAAAAAAAAAAAAAAAAAGAAATCACGATTTTAAACCGGCGTAAAATATGATTATGGATCATTCAGACTCCTCCTGATGATGTAGTACAAGATCGCGAAATTATGTTTTAAGAAAGTTAAATAGAAAATTTACTTTTAATCAATTTTATTGTCACGTGGGTTGATAACGCGTTTCTGTGGCATTTAGAAATTTTTCTTAAGTCCTTTCCCATAAACAACAAAAAATTAAAATAATAATAATAAATATCAAATTTTTATTTATTTTTTTAAAAAATTATTTATATATATATATATATACCTTATTTATTTATTTTGTATTTTTTTTATAGAGAAAAAAATTATTAAACTGATAGTATTAAACGTGAGATATTATTATTATTATTATTATTAAATCAAAATATAAAGTTCAAAAAATTAATTTTATTATTACTCCTGTTTTTTTTTTTTTTTTTGTAATTTTTTTTATGGATCGTAACAAATAATTATTATTTCATTACGGGAATTTTTTTTTCTCCATTAATTAATTTTTTTTTTAAATTAAAAAAAAAGGTTTATTAAAAAATTATTAAAATAGTTTAATAAATTACGGTAATTTTATTACTTAAAAAAACGATAATAATAATTGTGTGCGAAATGTTTACGTTTTTTATTAAGAAAAATTAAAATTTTTTATTTATTTATTAATTTATTTATTAAGACATTTTTATTAAAAAATTAAAACGTGAAAATAATTTTTATGCTCTAATAAACAAATCGGTTACAAATGTTTTCTCAAATTTTTGTCGTCTGCAACCCAAAAAAAAAAAAAAGAAAAACAAATAAGCCTTGTAGGATTAATTTTAAAAAATTTATTAAATTATTTATGATTCTAAAAAAAAAAGTTTTAATAATACATAAAAAAAAAAAAAATTCGTTGGGTTCAACCCACAAAACCCACATGTCACTTGCCTACGTATGTATTATTATTATTATTATTATTGTTATCCCTACTTATGTAATACGAGGAGGGTACAGAGGACATCAATAAAATTTTTTTTTTATTTGGCAGATTGTTTTAATTAAACCTGAAATGTTGTTTTTAGTTTTTTCTTATTAAATTCCATCCATAACAAATAAATTTTAATAATTTTTATAAAAAATAAGTTACCTCTTGGATACATTAATTATATTGCAGTTATTATTATTATTATTATTATTATTTTCCAAAAAAAAAAAAAATTTAAAAAGGAGGCTTAGGTGTCAATATCCCACGTCATAATTTTTCGTGTTTTTTTTTTTTTTTACGATAACCCTTTGACATTGAATTATCCTCACCCTTAGCCTATTCATTATTTAATAAATATCAAAATAAATTATTATTATTATTAATTGAAATATTATTTAAATTCTTTTTTTTTAAATAAATGTAATAGATACAAAAAATATTTTATTGATTATTGTCGTCATTACATTTTTTTTTTTTTTTTTTATAATTTAAGATTCGGAGAAACTTATTAAAAAATAAAAAAGAAAGAATTAATAATGTATTTATTAATTAATTAATTGTTTAAACAATTTTTTTATTAAGTTAATAATAATAATAATTTGTTTTTATTAAAAAATCATCAATTATTTTTTGTTTATAAATAAATTTTTATTATCGTAAAAAAAAAAATTCCATCAACGTTCCATAAAATGATGCATGCGATATTCGATTATTATTATTATTGTTTTTAAATTTAATTTTTTTTATTATTAATATGTATTAAAAAAAAAAAATTGAAAATAATGTTTTCAAGGAAAATTTATTATTATTATTATAAATTATTTTATGTAATTTTTCAGGTCGGATTCCTGGAATTGAATATTTTCCACTTTTTTATTAATTATAATGATTACCCTTGGTTATTTATTTAATTTTTTTTTTGTTTTTTTGTTAAACATAAGGATAAGGAAGTTCAGGGATCATCATCATCATCATTTATATTATTATTATTATTTGCCTGTGCAAAGATCGCCTGACTCACTGACAATTTTAAAATAAAATTTTTTATATTATTTTGATTTTTATTAATAATTTTAAGGTATTTAAACATATTATTTTATTAACTATTTTTATTTAAAGTTATTTAAAGTTTATTTTTCACATTTTTATTGATAGAAACAAAAAACAAATTTGTATAAAATAATAATAATAATAATAATACCAACATTTTCTCACAAACATATCAAAATAAATAAAATTATAAAAATTTATTTAAATAAAAAACCAAGCAGAAAATATTTAATTATAATTTTAGGTATAAAATTTAAAATTTATTGATTAAATTTTTAATAAAAAAAAAAAGGCAGTTTCATAACAAAAAAAAAAAGCGTTTGGGAATAAAAAAAATAAGTTATGATGATTCTCATTTGCAATTATAATAAAAAAAATAAATAAATAAAATAAAAATAAATGAAAAAATTTGCAAAATCAAGGCTCTTTTTGTAGAACGTGATATTTTGCACGGTAAAAAAAAAAAAAAAAAAAAAAAAACAATTTGATGTAAAAAAAAAGTTTTTATGTACTTTAAAAATGACCTTTTATCTTCCTAGTTCGTGAAAAAAAAAAAAATTTATATAACTTGACAAAACTTTAGCAAAAGGAAATGTTTGAAATGTTTTTTTTTTTAATATCAATAACAAAAAAAATTTTTATTAATTGTTTTCCACTTTTTTTTTGGTACTTTTGGGGTTTTCCACCATTAATCCTAAAAGTGTATCTTGTAGAAAAGCTATCAGCTTCCAAAATCCTGGAGTTATTGTTTCTTAATTTAAGCTCAATCAAAAAGAAATTTAAATAAAGTTCAAATTTGAGATTTAAATTTGAAAATGTTATGATCAACATTAGTAGAAAAATTCTTATTTTTTCCCATAATTTAGATTTAATTAGGTTTTTGATGTTTTTCCCTTAAATTTTATACAACAGACAAAATATTACATTTTCATTCATAAAATCATGATTATTATCATTTATGGAAAAAAAAAGTTAAACAATTAGGTATCATCCATTATTATAAAACAAACATTTAAACAAAATTAAAAATTATTATTCTGTGGAAAGAAAAATTATAAATTTTTGATTGTTTGTCAAAAGGAATAATAATTCATGTACATATAATAAATTTTTTTTTTTTTTTTTTTTTTTGTGAACCGTGACTCATTATATTTTTTATTTAAATGATTTTTATTGCAGCTACGTGCAAAAATTTATTTGTCTCAGACAAATGTAAACGAATTGCTTTTTTTTTTTTTTTTCTTTCATGTTTGAAAAGAGTCTGGCGACCGTCACCCATGAACTTTTGACATAAGACCCTGATTTCAAATTTCATCAACAGTAAGTTTTGACATTAATTTTAAAAAACATATATTAATTTACACTCATGTCCATTGGATGATTTTTTTGTAATGTGATTGATAAATTTTTTTTTTTTTTGTCATGTAAAAAAGTAATTGAAATTATATTAAAAAAGGTAATTTTATTTATAAAATTTTGATTGATCCTTTTTTTTTCTTTTGATATAAAACATTTGGTGATCCTCAGATTTCAATTTCCTTGACCTACATTTGATTGATGCGTGATACATTTGGTTAATATGATTTGGAACCGTAAAAGCTCTTTAATTATATTTTATTCGCTTTGATGTAAAACAAAAAAAATCAACTTCTTCAACAATATCCCTTCATTGTTTATCCCTAAAATAAAAAACACTTAAAACATTATAATAAACGAGAAAAAAAAAATTATTATTTCAAATGTCACGCACTGCACTAATGCTTGAGAATGGAATGTATGAAAATAACATCGTGATCATTCTGCTTTTTTTTTATATATATATATATATATTTATTAAAGGTGGATGACATCATGCTAAAATTAATTAAATTTAAAAATTTAATTAATTAATTATTGTTTTTTTTTAATCGAATACAATAATAAACTCGAATTGCTTACAAATTAAATACACATTAAATTATAAAAAAAAAAAAAAAATTGAATTTTTGTTTTTTTTTCGAAAACTGAGGCCCAAATATTTAAAATTTGTTTCTATTACTTGAGAAAATAACAAACAATAAAAATACAAACAACAAACTAACTTAAATTAATACATTATTTTTTATTTTTACACCTGAATTTTCTAAAAAATTATTATGCATTCAAAAAATAACAATTCCTAACGGTCATTAGAACGTTAATTTTTATGGCGCCAAACCACGTGATTGAAGCAGAAGAAATTTATTTAATTCGTATTATTCCGGTATGTCGGTTAATAAAACCATATGAAAAAATTCATGGATAATTATTATTTAACAATTAATTATTGTTTTTTTTTTTAAATTTTTTTTTTTTTTTTTTATTGAGAAAATAAGTAATAAATGAAACTGATTGTTTTCTTGCGATTACATTAAGTAAAATCGTATTTAAAAAAAGAAAGAAAATGAATTTGAATGATACATAAAAAATGGAGAATCATTTCATAAAAATATTTTCTATGAGCTACAAAATGTCTTGATAATATGTACTTATATGAATGTGTATTATATTGAAATGCATAATATTCAAATTTTAATGCATCGCAAGATTAATTTTTACAATTTTTACATGAAGTAATTTTTTCAATTGATTAAAATGGTAAGCAAATTTTAAAAATTTTATACAATTAATATTAATAGTGATCAATGTTGTTTTTTTTTTTGAAAATAATAGGAAAATGTGTTGTTGTCTTTATCAATAATTATTTATTAAGTTATTTTATTTATCATTAAGAAGTTAAATTGTATTTTTATTGTTTAATATTGTATTTTAATAGCCCATGACTTCCTCTGGTTATGACCCTCTTATTTACAAATTTTTTTTTTTGTTCAAACAATAACTATTTCTTTGTGAATCATGTTTTTTTTTTTTTTTTTTTTTTTTATCTTTGCTCTTTAATTTTTAAGGTTATCTGTTTTCTATTTTTTTTTAATAAATACAAATTTTCCATCTGAGGGTAAATGTTTCTTTTTTCACAAAAGTAAATATATTTATTTTTATGCTTATTGTTTTGTTGCTAATCGAGATTTAAAATTACATTGGTTCAATGTGAATAAAACATTATTAGCTTGTCACTCAATTCTTATTATTTTTAATGGGTATCTGACAAATTTATTATTAATTAATAAATATAAATAATACTTTTTATTTTATGATAGAATTTTTGTTTAATTTTAGCTAACAAGATTTTCAAAAAATGTTGTTCGTCTTTACACAAGATCAAAACTTAAATCTTCATTTAGTGTTTCACAAAAACAGAAGAAAACAGTACAATTTTTTTCTACTCAAACAAATGAAAAAGTTGATGAAAATATTGTGCCTATAGAAAACATAAGAAATTTTTGTATAATTGCTCATGTTGATCATGGGAAAAGTACATTAGCCGATAGGTTTTTAGAAATTACTGGAACTATTGACAAAAGTGCAAAAAACCAACAAGTTTTAGATAGGTTACAGGTTGAAAAAGAAAGAGGAATCACAGTAAAAGCAGTATCTGCATCATTATCATATTCTTACAATAATATAGACTATCAATTGAATTTAATAGATACACCAGGGCATGTGGATTTTTCAAATGAAGTTAATCGTTCTCTTTTCGCTTGTCAAGGTGTTATCTTACTAGTCGATGCCAATCAGGGTGTTCAAGCACAAACGATAGCAAATTTTTATTTAGCTTTTATGAAGGAATTAACCATAATACCAGTTTTAAATAAAATAGATTTACCTAAGGCCGACCCTGAAAGCGTTTCGCGAGATTTGGAAACACTTTTTGGATTTGATAAATCATCCATATTGAAAATATCTGCCAAAACTGGATTAGGAGTTGAAGATTTATTAAAAACGGTAATAGAAAAAGTTCCACATCCTAATGTTTCTAGAAATCCTCCATTTAAAGCTCTTCTCATTGACTCTTGGTTCGATCATTATCGAGGTTCAATTTTATTTATTTACGTTGAAAACGGTCAAGTTAAAATCGGTGACGAAATTAAAAGTTGTAGAGAAAACAAAGTTTACACGGTTAAATCTACAAGCAAACTCACGCCGGAAGAAAAACCAGTATCCGTTCTTCAAGCTGGTCAAGTAGGTGTTATAGGTTGCAATATGAAAACGATAAAATCAGCCTTAGTGGGAGATACGATATGTTCAGCCGATGCAACCGTCGAACCTTTGCAAACCTTTAATTCACCACAACCGATAGTTTTTGCCGGATTATTTGCCAAAGATCAATCGCAATACAGTAATTTAAAATCTGCATTGGAAAAACTTTGTTTAAATGATCCTTCCGTTTTCGTCACGGATGAAACGTCACCGGCTTTGGGCTTGGGTTGGAGATTAGGATTTTTAGGTTTGCTTCATTTGGATGTTTTCCGACAGAGATTGGAACAAGAATTCGATGCGGATGTGGTATTGACAAATCCTAGCGTCACTTATAAATTAAAGATTAATAAAAAATACGTTAAAAAATATCAGGGAGAATTTGTAGAAATAAGAAATCCGCTTCATTATCCGAGCGACTCGTACGAATCGAAGAGCTTACGAACCGATTGTATTAGCGACCATAATCACTCCGGTTAGTTATTTTCAACAAATTTTAGAAGAATGCATTTCGCGAAGAGGTAGAGAGGAAAGCGTGACTTCTTTGGACGGTAATAGAATAATGATAAAATATAAAATTCCACTAAGCGAAATAATGTTAGATTTTCACGACAAGTTAAAAAGTTTAACGTCGGGTTACGCGAGTTACGAATACGAAAATTGCGGTTTCGAAAAAGCATCGTTAAAAAAAATAAGGATTTTGCTAAACGGTAAAGAAGTAGAAGAATTAACGATATTGTCACACGAGGAAAAAGTACGTGAAACCGCTTTGAACATGGTTAAAAAATTACAAGAATTAATACCGAGACAATCCGTTGAAATTGCCATTCAGGCTGCCATAGGGAGTACAATCGTCGCTAGGAAAACTCTTAAAGCTTATAAAAAGGACGTCACGGCTAAATTATACGGTGGTGACGTCACAAGAAAAATGAAATTATTAAAATATCAAAGCGAGGGGAAAAAAAGAATGAGAATGTTTGCTAATATTCAAATAGAAAAAGATACTTTTATCGAAGTTTTGAAAAGAGATTGATTAAATTATATATTTTTTAATTCTCGACCCAAGCCGAGTGAAAGTAAATAAATACTTAATAATTTAAAAAAAACCGACATTTTCTTTTTTTTTTTTCATTCATTCCGCATTTGATATAATCTGCAGCTTGTTTTATCATGCCTCGTATCCGAAAATAATTTTTATCTCATCATCTTTTTTATGATAATCTTTTTAATATCCTCTTCCATGGATTTCAACATCCGTAAGTTATAATAAATTTCTCTCTTGATGTCTCACTTGTCGTCATGGGCATGAAATAAATTCGATAAAAGGAATGAGAAATTATTCTTAAATAATTTTTAAAAAAAAAAAATTTATTATATTTAATTTCCGGTTAAAATTTAACTTTTTTAAATCTGTAAAAAGGATTGATTGGACTCGGAGTCAAACCGCTTTTTAATGCGCTTTGTACGGGTTTTTTAGATCTATCGAAAGGTACTTTTGGAGAATTTCGTACTTCTTCTAAATATTCATCATTTTCTTGCGCCATATTTTTTTCTAATGCAAATGATATTCGTCTCAATCCGGATGAATTTAATTC